AAAATTAATTCAAAACTTGAATATTATACCTTGATACTCTTCCTATTCTTAAATATTATTTAGCATAAATTTAGTATAAATTAAGCTAAATTTCAGTAGTAAATATAAACAATTTTAATAATCAAAAAAATTGTTAGAATGGTACTTATTATATACAAATATATTCTAAATAGACATTTTCTTTTTAGAAAAGAGAGTGTAAAATTTATTTTAAAATACTTTTAACACTTGAATTTACATCTGAGCAGTGCTTAATTTTACAATTGTAGAATTCAAAAGATATTTTTGAATTGAAGTGTGGAACCACTAAATCAAAGGTGTCATTTAACGCTGCTTGACATTATGGTCTCTGTTTACTCTGTAATATAGCACTTCAAAATGATTGAAAAAGGACGATAAATGAGAACAAAATTTTCATGTAAGTAAAATGTGAAATAAAGCAGTATTTCCTTTATTCGGATTACAAAAAATTTGACAGCTGTCAACCCTAATAAGCAGGGTGAGAGTCACAAAAATTCACTCACTGCAAAATTTCTTGATTAATTGTTGGTTATGATTTATTAAGTATTTTCAAATTAAGAAAAACACTTGCCGAAATCTCATCTACAAATACATTAGGTTGACAGAAGTGTTTCAGCATTGTTATTTATTTAAAAGAATTTAACTTGTACAAATTGAAGACATACCGATGAGTTCCTAATATAATTTTAGCTTTTAACACTTCAATGTGATTTTCGATTGATTTGCTAAAGAGATTATTAAGTGCTAAAATACAGTGAGGCGAAGGACTAAAGGGAATTATAGTACGATTATAGCAGTAGAATCTGCTATTTCATAGAATATAATGTATGAGGTAATAACAGACAACTTGATAAAAACTCGGTTATTATAAGATTAAACATTAATTTAAAATATCTACCATTAACCAAAATATAAAACACTAATATCAGTGATAGATGCGAGCGTAAATTATTACTAAATGCTTAATTGATAATGTTTGCTTATTTAAGAAATTATTCAATTTATTAATAACCACAGATATATATTCATATATATCATCAAGAGTAGTTAAGAAACTAAGTAAGTTGTTAAGTTGTTTCGCTTAAATTGTATTCAAAATGTCACTATTCTAAGCAAAATTTATTGTTCATTCAGGTCTTATAAGAGCAGAAAAGGGCGATTAATGCTAGTTTTTTTATTTTTATTTTGGTTATCGGCTTACACTTTTATAAATTTTTCTCATAGAAAAGATTTTTCTTTAGCACCGTCTGCTAAGTTACGAGTATTCTTAAAATCAGCACCTGCATATTATTGATTTTATATATTAAACTTAAGCGAAATTTATTCCCATATAATTATTCATGAAAGCAACAGTTTGGGTTTTCATTTCTAACGACACGTCCGGAGTTGTTGGAAAATTTACTGAAGTACGCTGCGCTCATAATGCATTCATAAATGAGTTATTTTAAATCAACAAATAAGTTTTCTTATTTTTAAAAATATGTAAGTTTATTCTATCATGATTGGAATTCCCCTTTCCTTTAAATTGACAAAAAGTACAAGAAAATAATCCGACTTCAACTTTTTCTGATGACTTTCACTCTGCAGTGAGTAAGCTTTCAAGGTAGTAGTGTCCCAAATGAATGTTTTCCTGTCATTTTTATAATTTCTATTAAAGAAAAACTATCTACTAATTTCTTGCTTTCGGTTTCCATTAATTTTGGTTAACTTCTTCATCAGGCTTCCACTTTTATTATATGAAGAACAGGCTTAACTCATTGTATATCTCTGCGTCCTTTTGTCAGTGCTCATGTACAGGTTTTGTCCTTGAATATACTTTGTTAAACTTTTTTTATTATGACTATTGTGACAAAGTTATTAACTATACCTATTATAGAAACGTATTCGGTCAGTTTATATATTATTTTTATAATATAATAAATATCGAGCATTCAAACAATTTTTTTTTTCAGTATACGAATTATTATACAAAAGGTATCAATGGATCCCTTTGAATCGCAGTTACAAAATAATATATACATCAAAATAAGCCTAGAAAATATTGGTTATTATAATTTACGAGTATTTTAAAATATTATATTTCTACTATTGCTTGAAATCCAATATCATTAAAATGCGATCGTTGAAGACCTACAATACATACTTTTAATTCAATTGCTTTCCGGTACTTATAACAGATACCATATTTTTATAATAGTTCAACTCGCAAATAAATTGCTGATATGAACCCTTCGTTAGAATTTGTTTTATAGATTAATATAAAACGCATATATTTATTAGTACGAATATATACTCAGCCATTCAAAGAATGTAAAAATTATTGTCATGAATCAACACAGGTACATAAATAATAAGATTTACAAAGTTAAGAAGTTTGTAAGAAGTTATTAAGACTCGAAAATTTTATTGCTATATTATAAATGTATAATCTTAATACAATAAAATAGAATTTTCCAATCTCATGATTCACACCAATATTAGAATTACTTGCATCGACGAATACCTGTATTCATTCGGTTGGCGGCAGCTCAACTAGTCACTCCAGTTTAACTCTCAGCTAAGAGGCATACGTCTATATAAAATACTCACTCTACTTTGATGAGGAGCAGTCCGCTTCCTCCATCATTTTGCTTTGTTTTTGAATTTTGCCTCTAAAAACTGGAATAGGGTTTTCAGAACATTTATGATGAAATGGTCGGAATTTTCATTCACATCAGTGTAGATTTGAATGCAGTCTTAGATGTAAACTATTATTTCAAAAACTTTTATATTTGATTAGAGATAAGTGTGAACAGACTATTATATCATTAGGATAAATTTTGGGAATGTCCATTTTTTTTGGCGTTAGGTGCTTAAGGTACTAATTTATATTACTTATTTTATATTATATTACTTAATATGAAGTATGCTTCTTGTATTGGAACATACAATTATTAATTATCCATATGTACTGATTTTTTTAAAGGCGGCTCTAGTGAAGGGGCTTTGAGATTTACCGCCTTTTTAAAGAGTCAGCTAGTTCAAAACCAACTTAATTTTTTTTGAAACTAAGTTTTAAAATAGAATCAATATTTGGAGAGTCATTGTTTAAATATATTATTTTGTTTACTGTTAGTATAGTGGTTTTTTTATTAAAGTGTTGGCAACCAAAAAAAATATGGAATTTTTTATACTAAGATATAAAAATAGCAGTGTATTACTTCTTTTTTGTTGGTAACTAAATCCCGTTAGTAAAGCAAAAAAAAATTGATTCGTGTAGTAATGAATTTCTGTAGGGACCAGCAGAAATTGCTTCGTCAAAAAGAGAGGGGGACATTGAGATAAACAAGTAAAGGGGTGTTTCTATGCTGTTCTATGAAAAATCAAATAGACAATTCATTGCAAATTAAAAATTGAAAGCAAATTAAATCAGTTTCCACGGCTTCACATATGCTGGCAGGCAAACAAAAAACGAGCTTTACCAACAAAATATAAAGATTTTTCATAAAAAATAAAAAAAAATATGTAAAATGTTAAACAAAATTACAGGAACTGTCAATAAAAAATCAACAAACCGCAAAAATATACGAAATCAATTTCATGCAAATTTCAGTAGAAGAACTCAACATAATTGGGTATCGGCATCCCGTGGGGTTAGACGGAATATGTGATATTAAAATGATTGCAATGGAAATGAACTTTAAGAATTTTTAAATTTCAAAAATTTTGAACTGATTGAAATCCGTGAAATATATTGGCTTACTTTAATGTAAGGATGACGTTACCGTCTCTTGAAGTTAAACACATATTTTGATTCCAAAGAACTTGTCAGTTGCTTGTTTGCTTTTTCCGTATGACGTTTTGACTTCATTTGTTTGTACTTCCACATGTGTTGCGTGTGGTTAACCACTTTTGGAATCACATACGCACTCTTTGACTAGCGTTTACATATGCACACCGGATGCTGTTGCCAGAGCTCAAACAATATATCACTGAAATGCGGTTGTTTTTGTTATTGTTGTTGAAAATGTAACAGATGAAAAATGAATTACAAAATAACAAAAAAATAAAAAAATTTAAATGAAAAAAATTGGCAATCCATAAATTTAATCGAAATATCATAAACGCATTCGTAACGTTGGTAACACGTGTTAACGTTTTATTTGCATATGCAATTGTGCTGTGGGTATCACATAGAAGGTATAAGTTAGCAATCCTTATGCCATATATCATGCAAGCCAATAATTGACAGTATTTTTGTAAAATTATATCCTTTAGCATGAGTTTTCATATTGCATGATTTTAGTCATTTTAATTTATTTTATTTTGTATGAAATGTATTATCTATTGAATTTGTCATTATAAATATATGTTTTTTACACATATTTTTTTTTTTGTAGATTATTAATATAATAACAAAGACCACGATATTAGGTTTCTCATACACTTTTTTTAAATATATTTAACTCTACCTAAAAATCTCTTCTCTTCGAAAAATATCTACTGCCTAATGAAAATATAATACTTATAATTGCAGAGAAAAATCTATTTTTAATAAAACATAACAATAACACATGTTCACACATGGTTGAGTTAAGCAAATGCGGTTAGCATCAACACCGTTTCCGTTTAAAGTCCACAATTCTGGAATTGTTTTCTAAAATTTGTAGAAAAAATTGCAAACAAATCCTGGTTCACCTTGTCATGTGTCGCTCCTGCCAACAGTTGAAAATTTACAATAACAAAAAAGTGATATAAAAAATCTCAAAATGGAAGATATGAATTCAGTGTGATGGCATTGCTTTGGCTTCTGCTTTTGAAGTTTTTCATTTGCAAGTAAATAAATGGAAAGCTAATGATGGTCTGGGGGTCAGTCAGTTAGGTCGGACATATCGTTTGGTCCGTTAAACAAGCACCGCAATATGTGGTTGTTTAGTGAAGCCACAATTTTGGTTTTTGTCAAGCGTTTTTTCTGCTTGACAACATTTAAAACTTGGGTTTCATGAATTGTACATCCTTCGTCCTGATGCTGTACGTTGTGGCATGAGAAACATATGCTGCACTGATACTGAACACGTTGTCGACATTTGTTTTAATTTTTCTTCTAGTAATGGAAGTATCTGTACTAGAAAATGAATACAAAAAGTTAAATTTTAAAATTATTACAATTTGTTTTATTGGTGGTGTGTATTTCAATTTTTCGGAGATAATTTTAAAACATTCGTTTTGTAGTTCGCTTCGTTAAGATTTCATTATAATATATAAATATCGTAAGCCAGTATCAATTTATGTTCCTTAGTGAGAAAATATAAAGTTACGAATATTATTAATATTATCCGAAGTTTTATTTAATCTTCAATATTTTTTCAATCTACATTTTTTTTGAAGGTGGAAAACTTCAACTCACTAAAACTATCTTTTACGATTGAACAATGAAAATTCTAGCTATTTGACTTTGAAGGTAATAGTGTCAAGAACTAGATTCCAATAATCAAGTGTAAAAATAGAAGTACATAGGCTTAACATTTAATAATATTAGTTTATTCAAGCTAAAGTGTGAGGAAGTTAGTAAAAAGAGAGGATCACTAAATTGGATTCAGAATTACTAGGAAGTTGTTATATATTGACTCTGTGCACGTACTCATGAAATCGCAGTTGTAATGATAGTAGGAAATGAATGCACTTCAACGAGGTAGAGTCAGAGATATTGGATGGGGGGATGACAACTTATAGGTGAAATCAAAACTGTTAGAATGATATTTGTGCGATGAATGTTTTCTTTAAAGTAGTCCTTCTTAACATACATTGCATGTAGATACGCCACCACAGTTTCCAGTAAAGAAACACTTTAGGAGCGCGCTAATATTTCTTATATATATATCATATATAGCTCAAAAACGTTATGTATTGAGTATCTTTTAAAGTTTCGGAAGCAAAAGAAAGTGACATTTCGTCTTATCTGGTGGTTACTGTAATACAGTGCAGCTATGCTTTATTTCGAATTGTTCGACAAGCTACAAAGTTTAGGAACAGTTTTAATTGCTACTAGCTACATCTAAAATATTTATAAAAATTGGTTTATAAACTGTAACTTATTCACATTTTTTCATCATCTTTAATAGTAGTGTTTTAATTAACAAGGACTATTAATTAAATTTTTTCCACATTTTCTTCATAGATGATTGTGTTACAATGGTCAGGCTTTTCAATATTTTCACTGTCTTACAGGTCTTCCTGAAAGCGTTCGTAACATTTATAAATTTGTGGTTACAATATAATAATCTCGCCTAAGGGTTTCTATGTTATTCAGAATGCTACGTTGCACTAAATTCTATTGTTAAAACATAATTTTAATCCAAATCTCCCATTCGATATATTTTTGACACAAATGTAAATTTTGTTCATTCGCTTGTCTGATAGTTTATCAATACTTTACTGGCAGTTTACACTTTTTAGATTATTGTTAGAAGACTTAAGCTCTGTAGTCTCTTAACGAAACTTTAACAAAGCTTTGTTGTGATTAGGTTACGTTGCAGTAGTCGTTTTGCACGTTAAATCTCAGTTGAACCTAATATTTGGTTATTGTAATACCACGGATAAGTATATACGCTGACCGTTGTATTCCAGACAGTAGGACTACAGTGAACTATTGTAGCGAGAGATTATAGTTTAATCAAACTTGGGGCGTCTCAGTTGAACCAAATAATTAGTTGTTGTGATACCACGGATAAGTACATACGCTGGCCGTTGTATTCCAGACAGTAGGACTACAGTCAACTATTTTAGCGAGAGATTAAAGTTCATTTTTCTACTTTGTGTTAAAGTCATCGTTCAAAATTCTTCAATAAAATAGTTAAATTTCTTATAATTTATCATTTAAAGTCACTATAGAAATGTATTAAATATGAAGATATATCACTCAAATAATAATTACAAAAAAATTTATTTCAAAACTTACTCTGCCTTCGGCCATTCATTTTCTTCAAGCAAAAGAAGTTGCTATGGTCATTCAAGTGTAGCGAAATTTTTATGAATAGAAAGGAAGTCAAATTTATTAGAAAGTAAAATACTGATAGGGCTGAAGGCAGCAAAAGAAATGTGAAGTGCTTTCAACGTATTTAAGTTGATGAGTTTTCGACTCAATTGCTTGACATTTGCAACATTTTTTCCTCTTCACATTGTTTCAAATGGTTTAGTATTTGTTGTTATTTTCTTAGGTTGTGCTGAATCCAAAGATACAGTTACTTTTAATTGTTGCAGATATTTGCGACTTTCATTTAAGCAAACTTTTTCTGCTGTCTAATTTTTGTTTTTCTTAATACAAAAATGCCAGTACCTTTTCAAAATAAAAATGTGCGGAGGGTGAAATAAAGATGCTGATAAGCAACTGTAAATGAGAAATACTTGTTCCAGCATATTTTCAGCTACTACACTTGTCGTAATCCCTTTTTCATTTCCGCTATTATTGGTGAAATTAGAATTTCTCATTAAAATAAGTGTTGGCCAGGCATTTGACTTTCTTTTTGCTTGCACTTATTTTCTGTGATGACAGCGACATCAACATCAGTTTCATCTTTCTTTTGCAGCATCTTGGAAA